ATGAGCCGCCGCAGAACAGGGATTCATCTCGCTCACAACTGGACAGCACAGCCTCCTTACAGGAGAAAGCCCTGCCGCAGCCCGTGTCGCCACTGAGCAGTGCCACAGGTAAGGGATTTGCCTTCCGATCTCCCTCCAGGCCTGCGGGGAAGGGCAAAGAGCCGGAGAGCTGGCCCAGGGAGCGATGGTGGGGCTGGGCCCCCCTCCTGGGAGACTGCCGCTCCTCAGTGAGGACACGGACCCCGGCTGGGGAGTGCAGGTTGCCCAGAGAATTGCCTCTGATCGGGGACGCTGAGCCTTGCAGAAGGGAAGGGGGGAACACAGGTTCAGCCGACTGCGTCACACAAAAAGAGCCGGTCTCATCGCCCTGTGCGCTATGTCCCCCTCTGATAGAGGGGCCGAGACTTGGCGGTTCCTTAGCAGGCTGCGCCTGGCTGGCGAGACCCTGCTGCCCTGCTCTTGCCAGGGCACACGTGCCTGTCGAGCGGTGCAGAACGGTCGCTGGTTCTCCAGCACCACGTTTGCCAGATGTTTCTTTCTGCTCAATCCAAACCCTTGTCCGTATGCCGGCAAGGAGGGGTTCCCCCCACCCCGCTGCGGCTGCAGGTGATGCCAAACAGCGGGAGCCCCTTCTGTCCGCAAAGGAAAGTTGCCGGGCAGGCATGCTCCTGGGCTGAGTTAATGTGGGTTTACTGCTGAACTCCCCCAAATACTGCTTCCAGAAGAGAGGAATTGATACCGACTTTGAGTTACAGAAGTCGGGCTGTGTTTAGCTCCGGCAGCCACGGGATATGTCCGCTGCTGGAAAGAGGAACGGCGGCTGGGACTCACCTGGGGACGAGTCTTTCAGTTACGGAGCAGGTGTCATGGGGGAAACCAAAAGATGCTCGTGGGAACTCCAGGGTAAAGGCTCTCCCGTCCCTGGGGTGTAGGGAGAGCGGTCTCCGAGCACACGACACACGGAATTTGGTTTAAATAATCATTAACTTGTCATGGAGCACGCATTTTCACACGGTATTAGCCACGCTGAGTGAACCGGGAGTGGTTGGTTCCTTCTCAGCAGCTGTCTCCGCTGGCTTGTTTTTGCTGCTTTTCCTTGTAACGCACCGTGTTCTCCTTCGTTCCCTAGGACAGTTGAGTGGGAAGCAGGTTCTGTCTGCAACGTCGGATGAGCGGGTAAAAGACGAGTTCAGTGACCTTTCTGAGGGGTGAGAGAAGAGTGGGTTTAAAATAGCCTAAATGTCGTCTTTGCGAGTATGAAATGACCCGCCTCAGAGACCTCTTTCTCCACGAGTGACCTGGCCCTCGAGGCCCCTTGGAACCGGCGTCGGAGGCGCAGAGCGGTGGCTCTGCAGCGGCTGAGATGAAGCTCACGCCGCTGACGCGCTGAACTCCCCTCCTCGCTGCCTCTGCTGCAGGGGGGGTTTGCACAGCGGCGTGCGTGTGTTTGCACGCACGTGTGCTCTCTGTGTTTGTTGGCTGCTTCCAGCAAAGCTGGTCCTGTTTCCTTCCGGGACCCTCTGCTCTGGGGAAGGAATGGTGCAGCGGGTGGCAGGGGCTTGCTCGGTCCTGGGTGGTGGCGGAGCCGCGGCTCCAGCCCCTCG